AGGTAGTACCCAGGTACCCAAGCCCTATGCCCAGGATGGTGGACCTATGGCACGATTGCCAGATGTGGCACGTGGAGCCCTCCCTGTGGGCACGTGCACCATCGCCAGTTGCTCTTCCAGGTTTCATCGCACAGATGCGTGCCAGACAACTGGTCCAGCCTGCATGCGCACCAGCCAGCTACTCTCTTTTGGGTTCTGGCACAAGCATGCGGGATGCGCACATGCATGCAACAGAACCCAGAAGAGAGCAGCTGGCTGGCGCGCATGCAGGCTGGACCAGTTGTCTGGCACGCATCTGTGCGATGAAACCTGGAAGAGCAACTGGCGATGGTGCACGTGCCCACAGGGAGGGCTCTGCGTGCCACATCTGGCAATTGTGCCATAGGTCCACCATCCCGGGCATAGGGCTTGGGTACCTGGGTACTACCTATCTCCAACTGTTTCTGCCTGCCCAATATGTTCCAGCAAAGTCGTATGTTCCAGGTCCCTTCAATTAAATGTTGCTGTCTTATTGGAGAGAATCCAGACAGAGCTCTTTCTCCTATGGTTCCCCAAAGCCATTAAGGCCTGTCTTTGGTCACAGGCTGAGGTTGATATCTTTGTAGGGCTTTCATGTCATTTGCTACTTTTTGATTGGTTTGAATGTGGGCTGCCTGTAAGGTTGTATGTTTTTACAATAACTGTTTTATTGCTTTGTATTTCCCAGAGACTATGTGCATACAGGCAGCTCTTGACTTATGATCACAATTGGGACCAGAATTTCAATTGCTAAACATTTTCATCTGTTGGCTGTTAAGTAAGACGTGCCTGATTTTACTACCCTTTTTGCCATGGTTAAGTGAATCACTGCAGTTGCTAAGTGAATTAAAGGTAAAGGTAAAGGTTCCCCTTGCACAAATGTGCTAGTCATTCCCGACTCTAGGGGGCAGTGCTCATTTCCATTTCAAAGCCAGCGCTCTCTGAAGTCGTCTTGTGTCCAGTCATGTGGCCAGCATGACTAAATGCCAAAGACACATGGAACGCTGTTACCTTCCCACCAAGATGGTCCCTATTTTTATACTTGCATTTTAACGTGCTTTCTAACTGCTAGGTTGGCAGAAGCTGGGACAAGTAACAGGAACTCACTCTGTTACACAGTGCTAGGGATTCGAACTGCCGAACTGCTGACCTTTCGACAAGCTCAGCGTCTTAGCCACTGAGCAACTGCGTCCCTGAAGCTAAGTGAATTAGGCAGCGGTAAAGGAATCCATCTTGCCTCATTGACTTTTCTTGCCGGAAGCTGTATGGGAAGTTCACGAATGTGATCACATGATCCTGAGATGCAGGAACTGTTGTAAAGAGATGCTGGCTGCCACATGCCTGAATTTTGATCATGTGACCATGGGGATGCTGCAACAGTTGTAAATGTGAGGATACTTTATAAGTCACTTTTTTCACTGCTGTTGTAACTTTAACTGGTCACTGAACACATTGTTGTAAATCAAAGACTATTTGTGAAACGTATTTAGAATAATAGTAATAGTAACAAAATAAGAATAATCCTCTGGTTATCTCAACGAGAATTTCAGGTTTAGATGCAAGCCTTTGTAGGCAGGAATTAATATATGTATATTCATTGATTGGACAATTTAAAATATGGGATTTTTTAAAAAGTGAACTACTTGTTCACTAAACTAGGCTAAAACTTGTGGTTGGGTATTTACTGTCCTGAAAATAACAACAAGAAAAGAAAGCACAATTGAAAAACAACCTGTACTTTTTATCTTTGGAGGTTCTTAGTCATTTAACTCATGGTTGTCCCAAAGGTGCTCTCCTCGTTGTACTTCATATACCACATTTCTGGGTTTGTATCTGGGTGTTTTATCCTTGGGGTGGGCAAGATTCTTTTGTGTTTTACCATCTTTGCTGGTAGGCAGTAGTGTAGGGTTCTGATAACTCCCATTTTGTGCTCCAGTGGGTGGTGAGAATCAAAAGAAGAACTGCACTGTGAAGCATAGAACCAGTTTGGGTGTATACCCGGCTGAGTTATTATCTATTTGGCCAAACTGGTCCGAACCGGTAGGAACTCACCACTGGTGCACATGCAGCTCCATCTGCAGGAGCAGAAAGCATGTGCATGCACATGCTTGCCTGATGCTTATGCAAGTGGAGTTGCACGCACAGTTGTGCTTACCACTTCTGTGGCCCACTTCCGAACAGCTCAAGGCCTGGGAGTGGGTTGCGGCCCAGCGGTTGGGGACCCCTACTGTGGGCAATGTAAAGTTCCATATTGTGACTGGCACTAACACATCATGACTATTTTCACTACAAATTACTCATGAAATAAATGTATGGGTTGTCTTGAAGCAAGTATCTAGTATGAACAGGAAGAGATGTTACTGTCTGGATTTTAGGTGAATACTTGGAAAGGATAATTACATGTGGAATAGATGTTATGGAATTATGACATGTCAGATTTTCCTACAGCTAATTTCTCTTCACCCTTAGGCCAAAATTAGAGATGAAGATTGAATTAGTGCCTTGTCCCTGATTGAGAACTTTGAAAATGTTTGTGTTTATACAA